CAAGTCTGAATACTTTAACGCCTGACCTAACTTACAATGCGAAATATCCTACTTTTGTTTTAAAAGTGAATTTCTCATTTAAAAAAATCAACGCGATGAAATTTCGTTGAAAAATATGAAATCAGATTAGATTATATTTTTCGAGACGAAAGCTTAGAAACCGGGCTTAATTGCAAAAAGAGAGAAAAAAAAATGAAATTTCTCATTTGAATCACGCAGTAGGATGAGAAAAATCAACGCGACGAATTTTCGTTGTAAAGCATAAAAATAGGTTAGAATCTATTCTTCGAGAGTCGAAAACTTAGAAACCAGACTCAATTGGTAAAACAGAGAAAGAAGTAGTATTTCTCATTTGAATCACGCAGTAGGATGAATTTTCGTTGTAAAGCGTGAAATCAGGGTTAAAATCTATTCTCCGTGTCGAAAACTTAGAAACCAGGCTTGATTGCAAAAAGAAAGAAAGAAAAAATAGTATACGAATTAAACGTGACCGAATTTCCGGTAAGAGGATGGTACACGTGATGCCGGATACGAAAGTATGGTTGTTACATGTTTGAAGCACTTAACGAAATTAAAGCCAAAGAGCATGCCTTGGCTTTGCGTGAGATATCCAGCCGAGCGGTTACGTTGCCTCACGTTGGCCACAATTACGATCACACGTCTCGCGTCACGTGGGTCTACACGGCCTGCATACTGCTGCACGCTCGCGAAAAGAAAGGGACAGTTCGTGTATCGCCACGAGCTACGAAAGATAGAAGAAACAAGGAAACATTGCCTCCGGATTGACTTTTCAATTTCTTTGCGTTTAACATTGCTCGACGTTTAAATGAACGCAATTGCATTATACGTTTACGGTAAACGAGACGGCAATTGGATTGTAGGATGTTGTAATTTATAGTAGAAGTTGTGATCCACACGTGATATTCGAAGGTATTTCATATATCGTTAATAATTAAAAGTACAATATAGTGACTACTTTAATCTTCGAAATTTTATTACGTTGGTAACATGAAACGGTTTAGTTTAATTTCGTAAATGCTATTTTTGCATTAATTAGTTCTTCTACTTGTACGATCCAATATTATTTTATAGAAGGAAGTTAGTTACTGATATTTTCGCTGATCGCAATTTTTTGTTACTACTAACGAATGATCGAGATTCTTCCATTTTGTAAAAATTCTATTTCCGATAATTGCAATAACATTGGGTAAAAAAGTAGCAAGAACGCTAGGTTTGTTAATCTTTTAAATTTTATTTATCTTTTAAAAATTTCACAAATTTTTATAATAAAATTGATTATAAAAAATTTTTCACTGCCTATGAAGAAACGTAAACGCATAGACTCATAAATTGAATTTTTTAAATAATCATATTTTTTTTTTTGCCGTGCTTTAATTTCTAGCGATCCGTTTGTTTATTTAACAGTAAACGGGAAATCCCATTTAAATTAAACCACACACTTTGCACGCGACTTTTGTTTTCTCTAAAGTAACACAAATCTGATTTGCAAGTCTCACTTCGAGTTGAATAACACCGTCGAAATCAAAAGCATCGCTAAAAGTGTACATCTATAAAATCTGCACGTGCGTGGATGCACGCCAGTTTTACATTGGAAAATATGCAAATGTGGCAAATGAAAATAAACCTAACAGAATTTTTCGTTTAGTCATCGACTTATTCGTCTCGTGTTTCGTACAAATAAATCACTTATCTTTCACAGAACTTCTCGTTTCGCCAGTAAATCTAATATTAACAAGGATTAACTTCAATTACGGTCGTTTTGTTTAAACTGGCTCCGACGCGAACGATTTACCTTGTGATACTGTACCGGGAAATTAACAGTATTATGTACACGTGTCTCCGAAGTAAGTGACTCAACGCTAGCCCAAGGATTTAATACAACGATGATAAGTATTAATATCAACGACGTTCAAAGAACGCGGCAAATGTACAATACTCGTAATAAAAACAAAAAAAGGCGACGAAAGAATTGCACAGAAGAAAAAAACATTACCACCGCGTGATTGTTTATCGTGAAAATATTGCAGAAGGACAAATCCTCGTCTCGTACAAGAATTATAACATATCGCTATTACGTGACAGTGTTGATTAATAATGAGCGGTATAATTGCATAACTCTGCAAAATTCACTCTTTTAAATTTTAAATAAACTATTCGTTTAAGCAAGCCTGCATTCGTAGTCGTTTACCACAAATCCTTCGAAATACGAGAGGAGCACATGCTAGATACGGCACACGTGTCAGGACCGTGCAATTTTTTCCCCATTCTGAATCGATAGATTGGCCTGTGACGAAACAACTCGTAACACGATGAACGACGTGACACATAAATCTGCAAGCTTCAACGACCGTCACACTGGCTACACGTGTTCTGGCGCAAGTAACACTGCGTAACCCATTTCGATGCATTAGCAGACTTCTCTTGTTGATGAAGAACGCCATCGTTTTGATTGCACGTGTAAAGAGTTTCTAATGAATTGCCAGTGTATAGAGAGGCTGGGTACATTGCGAATTTAAGATTAAAGCGGCGGGCAGTTGAAAAATTTTAATTTCACTTCATATATTGAAAATAATGTACGAAGTTTTATGTTTACTTTCATTGAAGCTTAATAAACTACTAAAGTAACTAAATTAAGTTACTAAATAATGTACGAAGTTTTATATTTACTTTGATTTAAAGTTACTAAAGTTACTATATTAAGTTACTAAATAATTTACTAAACTTTATAGTTACTTTTATCTAAACTTACTAAATTATGAAGTTGTCCTATAAGAATAAATATAGTTTGCAAATTTGAAATACTAAAGTGTTAATTCTAATCCTAAAAAGCAAAGAAGTATGCAGGAGTATTAATCGCTGAGCAAGACTGTCGCTGGAATGGTCCAGTTTTCATTGAGCGATTCATATGACTGTTAATAAAACTCATGCTTTTCCAATTATGAAATCAAATTATAATATCGTGACTTTTCTTGTTGTACAGTATACTAAATTAATACAGAAACAATTAAAACAATATCGTTTTGTCTAAATGCTTTAAAGCAATAATCACACCAAGTAAAATTAAAGGTACGTTAATAAAAAATTCCACGCTTTTAATAAAGGAAAAATTTACACTTCAATTCAAAATTTCATTCCCGAACATTCTATGGATTTAATAACATTTATTTCTCAACTCGTCGGTCAACTTCGGTACTCGTTCGTTTTCTTGGTTTTACCATGGAGTAGCCGTTAAAGTCAAATCGAACACAAAACACGATGAAAAAGAGAGTGAACGCTGTGCGAACTACAGCGTCACAACAAGGAAAAAACTGAGTGCAGGAAAGAGATCGTATAACACGTCGCGTCGGACTGAAATTCTCGTTGACCTTCCCGTAAGTACCTATTCCAGCCCTCGTTGTCTTCCACGTGTAAATGTCGTCCACGTGCGATCACGTATATCGGCGCACGTTTTACAAGTCCGGACTAAAATAAGTACTTAAGTGAAATCAAGCGTGGGCTTTGCCTTTCAGGACACCCGGGTCCGCCGCCGCGAGAGATCGAAGCGACGCGCGTTTAAGTTTAGAGCAGAATCGTGTGCTTTGCTGATCGATTGCGCAAATTAAACGGAGTCACTGGTCCGATAGAAACGCGCGATTGTTCGATAACGCGATTTTCGGCGATTCCGAAACTTTCCTGAATTAGAACGACCTTTCGATACGTCTACACGATGTTTCTAGCGAAATTCAGGACGAAGATTTGAAATTTCACGGAATTCGAAATTGGCAAGGTTAAAATTACAAAACTTTTGGCGGGTATAATTACCGTGAATTATATTTTTGTATCACCAATAAGTGCTAAATTAAAGCATTCGGGAAGATCGTATATCACGCTTCGAGACGCGTATATCTACAGAATTTGTGCTGTGAGATCTTTCAGAATATTAGTTGAACTTGTATTTGTTGAGAGGTCAACGAAACTTATGAAAAATGTACTTGTTAGTGACATGTTTAGAATATAAATTACCAAGTTAAATGAAATGACTATATATTTGCAATAAAATGGTAAGAAATAGATTGAACTGAATTGTATTATAAAGGTACACAGTTTTCAGTATCTCAATACTTTTCAATATTTCTCCAATATTTCGTCGTACTAGATTTACACCGAATGTACTATTACAGATACCGCAACTTCATCGTCCATGTTAAGTGACGAGAATTGCACACATTTGCAAATGTACACCATAAAAAGTTATTGCTTATCGCTACCGAATATATTGACAAATGATTGTCGTGCTAAGAATTGTTATTTGCAGTATGAAACTGGTTTAAGTAGACCGCACGTGGCGATATCAACATGATAGGTATATTCGTTCAGATTGTGTTCAGTCGAAACCGCATTGATTCTGCGACTATGTACACCATGCAAGACCAACCGATGCAATGAGCACTTTAAACTAAGAAATAAACATATAACACACCTGCATTCCTGACTCAAATTACAAATGCAACCAGATAGCGAAACTTAAGTCAATATAGACGATTTCATTGTATTGGCATTTTACGATCGAATTAATTCAATGGACCTATAAAATCTATCTTCAGTCTGTCGTGAAATCTTATATGTTATTAAATAATACGTGAGAAAATATATTGCAGTAAAAAAGTCGTAAATTACGTTTCTGTTAACAAATATTTTACTGGTATTAAATGATGAAGTGCGTTAGAAAATATACCAAATATGACTATAATTATATATGTTAACCGTATAACAGAAAAGTTCAAAATATGGATTATATTGAAAAATCTATTCAAAAAATGTAAAAAACTTCTTAATTTTGTCTGCATATAGAAATTCATTCAAGTTAGTTATAGAACTATAGAATATACATATAACACAACTACAGAACTGTAGTCATATTAGGTATATATACTAATAAATTAGTAATCAAGGCGTTTTACTAAAATAATATTAATATTCTATACCATGTAGCAACCCACCGATTCGTAGAATACGTTCACGACGTGGCTTCAAGGTTTTCAAAATAGACTGAACTGGTCAAAAAGATTCACCGCCGTCTTCGTTTCTATTGTGTCACTTTAGAGTTGAAACTGTTTAAACGGCGGCCAGTTACAAAATCACTTTCGCAACGTGACGTTCGAACTTCCTCTGCAACTGAATCTTGAACCGCGTTTTTAAGCGATGTCAGAGTAAACTCTCGTAAACGTCACTTAGCGCGTACAATAAAACTTTACAATCGACACTCGCGAAACATTCGTGTCTGTCAGTCAAAACACCAAATATTAAATCATGTCACACTACGTGCAATAACAACTACAATGTCTGTCCGTTAATTTTTCAGTCACGATCAACTTTCATTCTGCCGATTCGAAAGGATGATCCAAATCTACCGGCGTCTGTACATCGACTAACGGCGATCGAGTACCGCCATGTTATCCCCCCTCGTGGTTCCGAGCAACACGGTCACGCGTGCGCAGATGCACGGTCCTCGTGCACGCGCCTCGAGCTTCGACATTACAACAATCTCGATAACAAAAGCCGTGGCACGTGCATCCCTACTTCGAATGGGATCTTCCGAAAGGTTCCGCGGGAAAGCGAAGCGGAACGCGCGTGCTTCATAGAATTTCGTCGTTTCACGCGCACCGGAGGTGTCAAAACACAGGCCTCAGCTTCAGAGCGGTTTTCCTTTCCGAAAGGGGCATCGCTCCTACGTGAAGAAAGAGTTTTTCGACACGCTTCTTTAACGTGCAAATGTACAGCGTGAAAGAGCTTACTGCTTGAGCGTTTGTATTGCGAAATTGATGGAAATGATTGTAAAAATATATGCTTGACAAAACACATTCATAGAAATCGGAAACTATTTTTCAAAATGTAATTAAAAAATCGATAAATTAAAGTTTTGTACAATTTTAAAAAATAAACCTAACGTTGGAAGTATCCGCCTTGAAACAAGGTAGAAATTCAATTACAAGTTCCACAATCTTATCTGCTTTGTAATTTAAAATGTGTCGTTAAAACAAAGTGTAGCTTTAAAACTATGAACTCATTAACTACTTTATATACGCAACTGATATTTTATCTTAAGCATCACGTCACAGCACTTTACGTATGCCCATGCATTTTTTACAAATTCATATATTATAATAATACATATTTAACATTTTCTACATGCGTTAATATTTCTCACATGAAAACAGGTACTTCGAATTTAGCAATAAAATATATATATATCTTAAATATTATTGTGAATTAGATCGTGTCTTTATACTTTTCTGGTATTTATAAAGATACTAAGATACCACGAACAGTAAATATTTAGTGAATGCAAAAAAAAATGTTACGGGTGTAAACTCTTATATACTCGATCAACTTAACCTCTTCAAGGATACTTGTACGTGCACCTTAAACAGCAATTAACATTACGGCTACGCATGTAAACATTATATTTTTAATATTTGTTTCTACATATTCATGAACTATTACTAAAGAAATAAGTGGCGAATAAAATATGAAACGCAGGACATAAATAATATCAAATGTAGAACTCGATAACGAGCGTGCACCATAACAGAACGTGCGAGAACTTGTACGTTTCTATGTTGCGACGATCTTTCCTGATTCCACAAAGCGTTACAAATCACACCAACTGATTTCTAAATCGGATGCGAAATCTATGTCAAAGCAGTCAGGGGATTAAAGTTTCTCTAATGACACGTGGTCTCGGTTACGAGTGTCATATCGACCTCATCGAAGGGATTCGATAATTTCGGTGACATATGAAAAGTATCCGTTCACGACACCGTATAACGCCGCAGCGAGACCTCTCTTTTCACGTTGGGTAATCAACTGTTCGTACGTTTTTAGGTTATTTTCAAAACGGTAGCCGTTAATATTCAACTAACCGTACCAGATAGGCCAGCTTTAAATAAAAACGAACTACTATAAAAGAATGTCATAATCATTTACGATGTTTCTCGATTGTTAATGTTTCACGGTAATTTTCTATTTACTGTAAGAAAACAAAGTATTTTTCGCCGTTGGAAATTTTTCTTGATAATTTATTTGATATTATGTCCAATCATAATTTGATAATCACATTATATACTCAGTTTTGATTCCTGGTGATAGATTATATCTCCGTTTGAATATTCTTAGAAACGGTATTAAGACGCTCTATTATTCGTGTAGTAGAATTTAAAACCACACGTGATCGTTCTAAGCATTTGACGCGCGTCTAATGTAGTCAAACGGCGTCACGGCATATTTTTCCGTGACTGACGCTGCCAATAGTTCACGAGAAGGAACTCGTATGTTATGAAAAGAATGGTATAAATTAAAATAACATTT